TGCTGCAAAATTGCCAGGAGCACCAGAATTCAGAATAATTGTTAGGTTTGGTGGGGTCTGCTTGCTTCAAACTGTGAGAAGTTCTACTGTGAAGTTTTGCTTGAAACATTGCACATAAACTGTGTATAAATTGTTTTAAAAAATAAATTTGTTAGTTATAATTGTTACCTAATTAATAATAAAATAAAACTGTGAATAAATTAATTTATAGAGATAATGAATAAGTGGAAAAGTATAGCAAAATTGCTATATCAAATTGCTCCTTAATAGATTTAAGGAGAAAAGAGAAGACAATCGCATATAGAAGAACGTTAAGCGTTAATGATATAAATACTATTCCGAGAACATTTACTTCGCAACATCAGTGCGCAAAAATTGCTGTAAAAACCGACCTAATTAAGAGTTGATTTTATCAACGTCGAATGGTAGTAGATTAATCAAATCTTCCGTTATCTTACACTATTGATTATAAACATTTTTCTGTCCACATCTTGTGCTGAAACTTTCAGAGACATAATAATGAAAATATTTAATTTATTTAAGAAATTGGACAGTTAAGGGCTGCGCACAATAAAAGGAAATAATAGGGAAATGTGCGCAGCCTCTTGATGCTATAATTATAGCATTGAATGCTATGATCGTAGCATTAAATGCTATGGACATAGTAATTTTACTATAAGACTATAGCATTTAAACTTGTGCGTCTTGATGGTCCGCAGCTAGTGCGACACCATAGTAATATTTACTATAAAATTTTCTCCGTGTATTACAGACAGCTTTAGGATCACCTTAAGAGCCAATCGCTGTTGACGGTGTAAAGACGTTGAAAGATGCTGAATATGATCCGAATAGGGACCGAAACTACGATTAAATTCAAACAAAAAGAAAGAATAAACGTCTTTGCACCGTCAACAGCGATTGGCTCTTAATTATCCCGTTTCCTTTCACGTGTTTATTTCATAATTTTTTTCCTTAAAAACTCTTTAGCTAAAAAGCAGGTAATATAAATAATAAATTATTAGAAAAGAATATTATTGTAGGATGAAGATTATAAATCTCTATATTTATCTGCTATTTGTAATCAATTTTATATAATTCAACGTTATATTGCAAGAGAGACGAAAAAACATAAATTTTTATATAGAATCTTGAATATTGAATAGCTCAAATCGACCCTCATATATCTTAATCTCGATTAAGGCTGAGCCCATATTTTTGCAGCTCACTCGTGTTTACACTACAAGATATAAAACGCGAGCAGCTTAGGAGACCTTGACAACATTAAAGCGCAATTGAAAAGTCAATCGCGATTTATTGTGATTTCGATGCGCGTATACGAGTTTCGCAAGCGCGCGATCATCCGGCGACGAAATCGTCGAAATGACAAGGAGAAATCACGTAATCGTCGCATAAGTCATCGGGGCAATGCGAGCGCGAGTCTAAAATGTCGCGATCAAGTTATCTGTTGGACGTCGGAGATAAGAGACGTATCGTTCGTTCAACCGGCACATTTATTTTGTAATATTAAGCATTTTTTACATTTCCGTCAGGTTCAATTACGATTCACTCGTGTACGTTTGTTCCTAGCGCTTGTCCTTGAAAATTACGCAGGAGTAACCAAAAGTTCCAGGAATTATTTTTCGAAAAATATTTGAAGAGTGTATAATACCCTACTGCAACTGGATAGAAAAAAACGTTTCGCTTTATTCCATTGTCAAGACACATGGTTGTTTATTGTGCCAAGTATTTGCACCGTGGAGATACTACCTGAGAAATCGTTTTCGCTCGAACCCTTTTTCTCTTCCGCTCCTTTTCTTCCGCTCCTTTTCTTCCCCTCTTTTTCTTCCCCTCTTTTTCTTCCCCTCCTTTTCTTCTTCTCCCTTTTTTACTTTAGACTACTACTCCATCATCGACGCTCTCTCGTTCCTTTTTAAGGTAGTTCGATGATGAACAACTTTTGCCAAAAGTGATAGGTTTTATTTTTTATATTGAAAGAAGGAACTTTCCTGAATCGTTTAAGCCCAGAAAAAAGATAATTTACCGTCCTGTTCTCAAGATATTTAATTTCAAAATTAAATGTCTTTTTACGTCGTTACGAAGCTTTGCGATGCGTTATCTTATTTTTTTATAATCATATAAATAAAAAAATCATAAACATTGTTTTGACTTCGGCCCTTCATCATCAAACTACCTTAACCAAGAACATTTGTTTCGTCGTGTCGCGGTACTTACCCTTTGTCAAACGTCAACCATCGATTCACGCAAATGTGAGATGTACTTGACGTATTTTTTCTTCCCGTCACATCGCGGCGAATGGCGAACCACGAATCGCGCATAGTCTAGCGCTAGCTTAACGACAGTGTCGTTGTGGTTGCGCAGGTATACTATGATGGAAAAAAGCTGCGCAACGACAGTATATCGATAACGATACTGTCGTTAGAGTTACAGAATAGGGCTACTGGACGAGACTTTTTTTCTTTTTACATTTATAATTTACATTTAAATTTTATACTTTTAAATTGTTATATATCTACAATTTTTAAGCATTTTGTAATTGATTTTTTTTATTTTGATCACTTTATTTTTAGAAAATACGTACTAAATACTTTCATCCTAACCAATATTAATAGAACGACAAGCTGATTGAGTTAAAAATATTGTAACACTTGAAGAATATTCTTATATAAAGAACTAAGAAAGTTTTAAAAAGCACGCGTTGTCATATGTACTTATCCCATAAAAACTATAATACTAACAGGAACTAAAGAAAACTTGGGCAAAACGTCAGATATAACACTTTTAATAATTCCACGGTATTTACAACAGCGCTCCTAGCCGTAGCTTTGTTAAACATAACGAGTGGCATATTCCCCACACTGGCATATTCCTAATAATTACATAATTAGCGCATAAAGCTGGATGCATAATACAAAGGTTTCCGGTAGGTTGAAAATCTATTATCTGTGTTATACCTTGTTCCTGTTTCCTGTACCCCCACTTGGATCTAAGAGAATCAGCAAAATTTTTGAGACTTAGATGAAGATGGCTCTGCGGCATAAAAAAACCTTTGGTCCTTTGCCGCTAAAAAGATCCTCAGTTGTCGCTCAGTAGTTGCAGAACAGTGCGAACGTAAAGATAGTATCGGGTTTCAGAGATTCAAGTGTGCTCGGTTGAAATTCAAAAGTAAGTGTCTCGTTTTTTGCTAATTTGGTATTAAATAAGTAGTATTGAATAAATATTAACGTTTTTGTGTTATAATCTTTCGATATTAACAATTATTTATTGGTTTATAAGTATGACTTTAATATTAATGCTTTATATAGAATGTGTATACACAGTGCTAGATAAGTCATGTTTAGTCATGGTAGTCATGTTTTTTTTATTGTTTCTAGTTTAATTTTTTAAGAAATCACGCGAATACATCTACTTTTACGAAAAAAGAGGCTTCGAAAATCGGCCTACTTGACCCCTGGAGATTTCGTTGATAACGATAAAAAATTACATCGCTCTATATTTTTCCTTAAGAATTGACATCTGCTTTTTCAGAATCCGCAAGAAAAATTGTTCTACCGGATAGTTTCAAAGTTGTAAATTTTCAAAAAAAAAAAAAAATGTGCAAAGTTTGCGTTTTTCCTCCTCAGCGAAAAATTTGTATATTACACTTTTAAAACGGCTTTTGTGGGAAACATACGAACCGCACAGAAATTTCGCTTTCACAGACGTATTCTTAACAGTCCCCCCTTCAGTTAAAAAAAATGCAAATATACGTAGTTTTGCGGAAACTACAACACTCGAAAGTTGGCCGTGTCTCACAGACCCAATGTGTATGAATAATGCCCGTTTTCACCATGTCGTTTAATTAATTGTCAATTCTAACAGCAGAATCTTCTCAATCTAAGGGCCAAAGCACATAACATGGCGTAGCGATCAATGACGGCCGTAATCTCCGATCGTGACAGATGAATACGCCAAAGCTTGTGCGTTACTTACGTCCACGACTACGACTGTCATATGTGCTTTGGTCCTGATGTTTAAGATTTGTAATATTTGCATAAAGGCTATAAATGCTTCTACAATGCCATCAATTGAAAATGAAATAGTTAAAGATTGTAATTTTGATTTTTTAATCAATAGTTGGATTGAATAAAGTTTTTGATTTATTATAGAATTATAAAATTCTATTATAGAGTTCTATTTATGGATTTTAACTTTTATCTATTCTATTTATATTTTATCAAATTCTGTTTGTTTTGTAAAATTTAGTTATATTCTATTTTTCTTTTTTAAAAACGCGTACTTATAAATAAACAATTTTAATTATACTGTTCCATCAGAGAAAATTGATTTTCATCCCAATTCTAACAAACTTTATAACAAGATATATAAATGGAATCCCGATTGGAAACGCGGAACTAATCGAAATCTTATGATTCCGATCGGATTCCGAAAAGTTCCATAATACGTATTTTTTTGTAACAATTATTTATATTAATATATAAATAAGCTGACTATACCTGGCGATAATTAGTTTATATATATATATATATATATATGTATGTATGTACGTATGTATGTATATATAAATAATAGTTTAAATGTTTGCTACTTGTTGTTCACTGTTCTCTCTTCCGCCAAGATTGTCAAAGCGCGAAACTACAAAAGTATAAAAGATAGGTACCTTGACACGCTGAGGATTTAAAAGTAAAACGGCTAAACTTGTCGATGACAAAAATAGGCCTGTTTCAGATTTGTTATCTGTTATCGTAAGCTTTAGGGCTTTCGGTCGCGTGGCTCGCGAAGACCCTCCGTCTTCGAAGTGAGGTTTGCTCAACTAGAAGAGAAGGTGTCTTTTTAAAGACATATCGCTGAGTCTATAGCGATGCGGCTTCAAGTCCGGTCTTTCCCGCTTCGTCGCGATCGCGACAGCTAGTCGGCACGGTGGGGTAAAAGCACCCGCGGTTTCGTTAGCCGGCAGACTTAGCAGTCACGCGCGTATCGCCGACTAGTGCGGAGTGTCGTTGCTGCCGTGTGACTCGCGAAAAAAATCGCGGAATTTGCAGCTCGATAAAGCGTACTGTCGATATCGCGCAGGTGGTGCTTGATCGTCTCCCAACTGGTGTTGAATCGTTTCCGGTTACCGGTGCGCGATCAGGAGAGTTTGGTACCCACGTTACCCCACATTCGCGATCGTTACATCAGTGGAAATAAGAAAGACACGAACTGGATGTGGCAATCGCGTCCAGACCGGGCGGGGACGAACAGTTTTCGACGACACACGTCGCGCCGCGCCGCGACGGGAAGCGCGTCTCAAATGCGGCCACGCCGGGGAAATCGATCGGCGATCACGTCGCCGTCGACGCCGTTCTCGCGCTTCCGTCCCGTCGTCAATGACGGCCGCCCGCACGTGATCGTGCGAATCGGACACATGGACTTTTACCAAACCGGTTCTCGCGCCTCCGGCTTGCGAGAGGCCGCGCGCGAACGGCACGCTCGCTGTCGTGACTTTTGAGGGAGATTCGTCCACGACACGTAAGAAACTATCGTGGCAAATTCGCTTTCTTTCTTCTTTTTTTTAAATATGGATTGCCGACCTTTGGTCTACTGCTAAAGACAGTTCCTCAGATCTTTAAGATCTTAAGCCCGCAAATGTCGCTGTTTGTTGGATATCTCGAAGATTTGATGTCGAAGGGCCCAGAAGAGTGCTATCTACGAATGCCAGCATGCAGTTAGGACAGAGGATGGGCAATGACAGGCCAGGTATAGAACTGGCAGAGTTACAACAATGTCTATAAGAAATATCTTGAATAAGAATATTTTATAAGGGATCACCAAATATCACTGCTTTCACATTTCTTCTTTTTGTTCTTTATTGAATATCCGACCCTAGTTGGGACGCAGAATGCTTTCCTAATTCTACATTGAAACGACGGTGAGATCCATTTTTTAAAGGTGACAGCGGTAATCGCAGAGATATTTCTGCGATTGTATAGAATAGTTGTTCATATAATACAAGTCACGGTTGCACTGAACTGCCATGTTAATGAATTTAGCGAAAGCGGACCTTGCTGTCGACGGTTAGATTAGATCTCCTTTCACTATCACGTGCATCATTCGTTGATCATTAATGAACTCTTAGAAAAATGTCAGGTTTATAGAATTGGAGAATGATAAATATCGAAAAATTATTATTCCAACTATCTATTAATTTTTATTTAATTCTCAAAAATTAAAATATATTTTATTCCGCAATGTATCTCTAACTATTTTTTAAATATGTATACAGTGAGTAATTATAAGTCATATGTTCTCATTTGAGACTTTAAAGTTGATTTCCCAGTTGCTACTACTTCCGGTCAATTCCGGAAAACAGAACATTCGATTCTTCTAAGAGGCAAGCAAGAACTAGAAAATTAGGTTTTAGTTTTGAATAGCTTGCAAAGTGCTTATGAGCAAAATTTTATGAGTGCATCCTTCGTCTTCTAAGAAAAAATTAACAAAGTTATTCAAAACTAGTCGCATACTATATTAAATCATTTTATGACCACTATCAGTCATTCATCGTGGTTGTGGTAGTAAAATAAAGTCCACCTTAACTTTTGATTCTACGCGTTTCCAGTTTAAAACATATTTTTTTTTATAAAATATTAAATTTTTTTGCAAGATAGATAAATTTGTTGAAAATTAAATTACAGAGGTTGGAATTTTTATATCTTATTTATTAATAAGTCACTCTATTATATAAGATATAAATTTTTCACAATATCGGACGTGCGATTTATAAATAAAAGCAACTCAATAACAATATATTATGATACTAGGGGAAACTAGGGGAACATCGAAATAAACAGAATTTTTTACACGCACATCTCGATATTGTGAAAAATTTTTCATCTTATAATAGAGAGCTTTTTTTTATTAATAAATCAGATGTAAAAGATTTTAATCATTGTAATTAAATTTTCAACCAATTTGCCTTAAAAAAAAATTTCAATATTGTGTGAAAAAAAAAGGTTCATCGGCAGTTGGGTTCGAACTGCCTGTTTGTGAGACGCATGTTACGATGTCTGTAAAGGTTACACTCTACTACTGCGGCCACGATCAGCATGAGAGTTTACCACGCTAAAACTTGACAAGCTGATTCTGAATATACCTTCATTAATTTTTCATTAGAAAACAAGGGACCATGCATTCATCAAGTTCTCATTAATAAACATCCTTCAAGCTACTTGCAGAAATTTCTTAAATTAAAAATTTATTTCTTAATTCTTGCCTGCTCCTTGTTAAACAATATATTTTATGCCATACTCTAGCAGTTTAATAGCAGGCTTATAGAACCCTGACAGGAGTAAAAATTAGGATAAATTTTGGGAGTTATAAAAAGTTATAAATTTTTAAAAGTATTAATTTTTATTATGTTGATTTTTTTTTGCAGAACAGAATTGAAATGAACACAATGATGTTAATATTCACCATAAAATCTAATTTTTTTATTACCAACGTATTGTTATTTTAATAGACATACATAACAAAAAAAATTCATACTCCTATTAATTTACAACTTTTCCTCCTGTCAAGGTCTTGTAATCTCTTAATAATCAACGCTGGTATCCACTTTAACTTAGAATTCGTCTAAAAGTAAAAAATTCTCACTTATAAGCTGGGATTAGGAAATATCTTCTTGAAGCAATATGGTGGAAATATAGAGGAAACTCATCAGAGAGTATACGGCAATGAATAAACATTTCTGTTCATAAAAAATTTTGAAAGAGCATTTTTACATCTCATAGTGTCGAATAATTCGATGCAACGTAGTCAATTTCGTCTAAGCTTGTCAATATTAATCCATTTCCCATCGAGAATGTCACACGTGACGACATATCGTCTCGTTCTCGTTCGGATTCGCTTTCGTCAATCGTCGTCGGTATAACGCGCGCTTTTTCTCCCGACTGCTGCCAACCTTCGGTTGTTCAGGAATTACGTCGGCATCAGTGCTAGCGTAGGCGTCCTCGCGACTCGCGTACAAGAGCACGTGGTCGCGCGCATGATCCACTATATTCAGAAGTAGAAGGAGTAGCAGGCTTTCCGTGCAAACGCTCATGTGAACCCCGTCTCGCGAGCGTCACGGCAACACGTGCTCGCCGGGTTTGACGAGACAGCCCGCGCGAACGAGCGCGATGGAAAAGCCGCGATACGATATCCCATGTCGAAACGTTTGTCGTTTTAACGTCACAGTTTGCGTACTTATAATTTCAGGAATTTTAGAAATAAAATTCGGATAGGATTTATACGTACTTTTTTGACGAATTGTTCAAAATTGCCGAGAGTCAAATTGTAATTTCGGACCACAGATATTTTTAGACAAAAGTAGCGTCAAATATGTCAGATAAATATATACAAGTATAAATGCACCTTTTAAAACTTTACGTTCAGATGCACATTGTGCCGGAGTATCGTAGCGTTCATGTTCACCTCCGTGACATCTGCTTGTGACACGCGCTGTCAGCACACTTTGCATTGAATACGACGATTATATACCAGCCTGACCGAATCCATATGCAATGCACTCCGTTGATCGTAGGTCAATCTCGATCGTGATGGCTTCGATCGCGTGTTTCAGATTTTCATGATAAACGTATTCCGCAGATTTTTTTCTGGCTTGTAAATAATAGCATCATAAAGTCATAAATGTTACAGGAAATTCGGAAAGATATTTTTCTAGGAAATTTTTTTAATGCTTCTTTCAAATGTTCCTTATACTGACTAATAACTTTTCAAACGGTATAGTTAAAGTGAAAGTTTTATGTATTTACTTTGAAAGAGAACTAACGTGAAATTTGATCTTTTTTTTTTTCTCGTGCTACCTGTACATTAAATTTGAAGTTGATAAAAAATTGGAAGTAAAATGTAAGAATAAATGTAAGAATAAATGTAAAAGAAGTATAAATGTAAGAACCAAGGGTAAAAAGGAGGAGAAAAAGAGGAAGGAAAAGAAAAAGAGGAGAGAGAGAGAGAGAGAGAAAGTTTTTATTGGTCACCGTCTTCAAATATGACGGATTTTTTTACGAGAGAATAAATCACATCGTACAATGACGACGACGACGACGACTGTTACCTAGATGTACACGAAGGCAAGAAGAGCTATCCTAATTTTACGCCGTCGGGTTACTGGACCTTACGTAACTGCAAAACTCGAGCGCTAAGTTTAGTAGGGCTCTCTCTCTCTCTCTTAGCGTACACTCTCTAGCGGCGGATTCCATTTCCGGAGGCGCCGCCGTCTTGCGAAATGCACATGCACTCCTCGAGGAAAGATTCCTGTCGCCTATTCGCGAGATACCAGGACTTTGGATTAGGATATTGATTGATTAATGTACAATATTTGAAACAAGTCTCGTATTTCTACGAGAGTCTCTTAAGCTTTTCTTCTATACAGAGATGGTAGATTGAGATTCCGACTGACGGAATGCCCCTCTCTGCTTACGCACACAAAGACGCTATGTCTGAGATATAAGTATGCTGGAGGGGACACTGTCACACCACGTCCGTAGACGGAAAATGATCCAGAGGCAGGTAGATAAGTTGGGATTTCTGTCTTTTTTGTATTGTACTAGACGCATGCGCATATTACTGAGAGAAAGATTTGTGTTTGTCATTACAAATTGTATAAGGCAGCAGCCTGCTTTGATGTTTATCTCTCTCTCTCTCTCTCTCGGTCGCGCTACCCGAGCCAGTACCCTCTCCAGTACACTTACATCTCAGTGTTTCTCATCACAAATTCGTGACAACTGTTGTTGCACAATAGACAATAGAAATTTTATATCGATCGTCGTTATCGACTTTTCGTTGTTGTTTAAATATATGATTTATTCAAAAGAGAAATTGTAATCTATTGCGTTTATCTTGCGACTATCTTTCGGCTGATAAAGACGACTATCTGCCGATTACGTTAGTTATGTTTCTCTCGTAACGTTTACCACATTGAAATTTACGTTCAAAATATTTTAATAACTTTAATATCTGGAATATCTATTTTAATTATATTATGTCATTCTGATGGGATAATTTCAAGCCAGCTTCATCCTTTTTCTACCTTCGCTTTTCTTTCCTTATCTCTCTTTGCCTTTTCGCGTTCCCTCTAACTTCGGTCTCTGTTTGACCCGAACGCGAATCAGTCCGATACTCGCGCTAAATATGGAACCAGCGGAACACTTGGATTATTTTGAGAACGAGTCTTCCTAGCATTACTTAGTAGGTGTGACTGCCTATTACATCGCGCCGCTAGGTAAGGGACGACAATTCTGTTGAAATACGCCTCTAATGGGTCTATACAATTTATGAAAAAGTTGTTTAAATTCTTTTTTTTATGATATATGTTAAAAAGTACGATTAAAAAGCTTGATTCGATCCTAGCCAAAACGTCACATTATATTTTGACCGTGAATCCGAACCAGTAAACGTTCGAACATAAATTTCATGGATAAAAGCGTATAAACTCGGATCGATAACCTCTTCTTAGCTGCCGTTTTTTTTTTAACATCACGCTTCGTAGCGACGGTCAACTCTACGAGGGCCCCGCTAAATTTACTGTGACACGAAATGCCAGCCTCTAAACTCACCACCAAGCACATACCAGGGTGTAATGACACTTGGCAGGGTCGCAATGCTGTTGGCAACGTCATTGCAATGATTGGTCGAGAAAGGGGCAGGTCGTACATTTTTTTATGATTCCACTGTTAATTTAGGGTGGCTTTGAACGAGACACCCAAATTAACAGCTTAATGAGACATCTGTTTCAACCAGGGATGTATTATGATAAAAGACAAAAAGATTGTTTCGGTCGGACTCTAGTAATTATGTCTTACGTTATTCATGGCATCAAATGGCGTTCAATTCTCGACGCCGCAATTGGTCAGAAACTTTCTAATTTTTTGTACAAAAGCACCAATCGCTGTCAATAGGTGTGGCCAATGGCAACGTGAAAAAAATGGGACGTTTCCTCTCATGTTTTATGTTATTACAAGATTTGATTATTTATTAAAAAGTATAATTTTTTCGAGATTAAATGACATTTATTCTCGATTATTAAATCTCTAAAAAGTTTTTAAGAATAAAATATACTTTTTTTTTCCTCACGAAAATTCTTTGTTTTATTTTAAAATTGCCAAGACTAAAATAAATATTTTTTTATTTTTATGTTTTATGGCTCTTGAATTAAGGAAATAGAGGAAATACCGTAATTTTTGATGTGCCGATATATCTACTGATCCGCCCCTCTTCATTGACCTTTCTGCTTAATTTCTTGAACGATCGAGAGTGAGTTCCAAGTTGTCGTAAATTCAATGTGGGGGACACGATTTTATCGCGCTGTGTTTGCTGTGTATCGGCCTCGACGTAACGGCTCGCCGTCCGTCTTCGCCGCTCGTCCGTTTTCTATATACATTCGACGTTTTACGTCGCTTTCGTTCAACCTCTGCTTCGCATAAGTTTTACATAATCGAATAACAAGTACGACCACCGCTCCGGAGACCGCCTCGTGGAAAGGGAAATCGACCTTAGAGTTTTATTTCCATACGATTTACGGATATGCGCATATAGACGCAGTGACATCTTTCGATAGGTATATTCACACGGTGCGCAACATTCGCAAACTCGTTCACGCATTTGACTCTTTTCGCACGATCACGCACGCACGCACGCACACCTGCCCCCTTTCCTTTTTTCCTTTGATTTTTGCCGAACATATGCGGCTCTTTTGATTTCTTTTGTGCACCTGCCACCTAAACCATTCATCTAAAAATGTACAATTTTTTTTCTTATTTCTAAAAACAGCATGCACGAATGTCTTCGGTTATAGGTTTAGAATTGCTCCGTGTACATAGTATGGATATGATTAAAGTCGTAGGTCTTTATCTCAAATCGTTCGTAATGTTACGCGACCTATCACGCGCTTTTTCTGACTTTTCGTAGATATCGCTGATTTATGCAACGTTCTGGATGTTATTTACCGCGCGCTCGCGACCTGTTAACTCGACGTAAACGTTAAGCAGTTATAATAAAATCCTGATACGAGACGGCTCTTGCGACGCCGCGATATTATATATAACATTGTATTGTACATAACATCGTTCGTATATAATTATCATACTGGTTGCCTTTATTGGTGAGGACATCCAGCTTCTTCGTCTCGTTTGTTCTTTCGAAAGCTATTGAGCTATTATAACCATTTAGATTATTTACGACTAACCGAGAACGTTCTGTCACGGTGGATGGTATTGTCTTTTCCATTTTTTAGAAGACTTCCGTGTTTGATTAATGGAACTTATACTTTTTCTTTATCTAAAATATATGTATATAGCAAAAGAAGTTCTTACACACAATTTGTCTCGGCACATAGTATATATTGTTATATTAAATCTTTTGAAGATCGTTAGAAAGTCAATTTTTTGTTCATTGTTATATATTTATCATTGCCGAAAGCTTACTGGGTTTTTCTTTGCAGCATTGTAGTATACACTAAGGAAACAAACCTAAATAACTGTTCGATTTAGATTTTAGATGAAATTTCTTTATCCTTTAAACCGACCTTTTTAACTGAATGGCCGGGATCCTAGTAATGGAAGATTTCCCTGCGTTAAAAAAAAGGTTTCTTAATCCTTGTGTGTTTTGTGAGTATGTAGAGTGACTCACAATCAATATATGAATTATGGTATGCTTTCTTTGTGTTTTGTCACGCCTTAAAGGTAACTTTCAACCTAAAAGTCAAAAGGTCGCCTTCACTTTTTAACGTGTAAATCTTAAAAAACAAGGGATAGAAAAAAATATTTAGAATAAATGTTTAATGGTAAGTTAAGTTTTATAAAGTAGAATAAACAAAAATTATAAAACAAATTTTATATTGCAAAAAAAATCTACAAATTTTTTTTTTTTACATTTTTGTTTACACCACTTTATAGACTTCAACTTACCATTGAACTTTTATCTTAAACACTTTTCTCTATGTCTTGTATTGTAAAAGTTAAGGTGCGATTTCATTGACGCTAGAAACCAGCGGCAGTGTCAAGAAAATGTAGTGGGGGAAGAAGTTCCGTTGAATTTTGCGGTACGCTAAAAAGTTGAGACGGTCTGAACTTTTTTCCCCACTATATTTTCTTGACTCTGCTGCTGGTTTCTAGCGTCAATGAAATCGCATCTTTACACGTTAAAAAGTGAAAGCGCTCTTTTGACTTTTAGATTGAAAATCATATCTTTAAAGGGCGATAGAACACAAATAATAAACATTACCGTTATTCATGTATTGAGTCACTCTACATACTTACAAAAATTCAACCAAATCGAAGATTTCGGGTTCGGGATGTTCCTTTGTAAGACACATTGTTGAAATTAGTTGCACCTGCATTCATCGAATGTCAGCCGATCGCAAGGCCAGGCGCTTCAACTGCCTGACTATTGAATCAAATTGCTTCGCGCTCCGGCCGCTTTCCACACACTGCAATCACTTGCCTGAGACCTCACGTTTATTTGCGAGTTCCCCGCGTAACCCTGAATTGCATAACCCAGACCCCCGATACGCGTGCGCCACGGCGCCGGTTTCAATGAAAGGGAGTCTCGAGCCAATCTCAGGTCGCGCGCCACGCAACGTGTGCGATACGTGTGGTTCTGCGCTCTGGTAGGCTCTCTGATTTTTTCTCTGATCCCATTTAGTAGTTTCCTTCTAATCCCGTTTTGGTCATTTTGTCCGATAGTATTTATCGAAGCCTGTGCCTGTATTCCTTAGAATACAGTCTGGCAAACTATATAGGCTAAAGCCCTTCAAAATGGCCATGTTCAAAATGGTGTGTAGTAGGGATTAGTGTATAAGTCTATACCATGTACTACTGTAGTGTTAGTGTACAGTCGCGCTCATTAAATGCCTAGACACCGAAAATTAAATGCATTTTAGTGTCAATGTGATGTGTGTATATCAATGTCTTTGTGTGTCTATATATATTCTCTTTATACTGTGATTGGTCACACTATTTTGAAGGGCTGCGAACCAATAGACTCTCGAACCAATAAAAATAAGTCGAATGGTCAGACTCTGTATTCTTCTAGGGGCTCAAACTCCACCCAACGCCCCTAAAGGTCAATTCAGAACTAACTTGCATAGCGCATAAACATAAGCATAAGAGAATTAATTGGTCTATATGCATGTGCATAAGGAAATAGATCAATCCGTTTCTTTATGCATATGGTTATGCACCTATGTAAGTTTGTCTGGATAGACCTTTACTACGCTGGACCCTCATCCTGAGCGATGATAGTTTCTCGCCTTTTTTTAATAAAAATGAAATATTCTAACAGCATAGAAAAATTTTTTGTGCGTATGTATGTACATTAGGGTGTGTCATTTTGAAGCAACTTTTTTTTTCATTTCACGAATAGCATATATACTTGCAGGAAGGTAAAATAAGATACCTGTTAAAATTTTAGCCCTTAATATTAATATTAACAGGTCGCTCATCGCGATTTTTTATTTTTTATTTAGTAAGATAGAAAAAATTTTATAACTATCTAACAAACAGTAATACAGCATTGCGCCACATAGATTTTCTGTACTAAATTTACCGCTCTACAAAAAAGATCTCTTATCATTTTTTCATAAATTTAACCGTTCAAAAGATATTCAAAGTTAAAGTTTGATTAATTTTATAAAACTTGTTTTTGCTTCTTATGAATGTTGTATCATATCGACTATCAAAAATTATGAAATAATCAATACATATTTTTGTAGAAAATTTAACGATTTACAAAAAAGGTCTCTTATATTTTTTT